GGGAGAGGCGGGGGAAGAGGAGGGGGAGGGCCCATCACGAGGCCTACCGTCAGGTGTTTGGTATCAGGGCGGGGTGGGGCTGGGCGGGGGGGAACGGCGGCAAGGCGGCACAGCGGAGACAGCGAGCCAAAGGGGGGTGGAAGGGACAGGATCGCGGAATGTACGAGAAATGTACGAGAAAATGCATCAAACGGGGGGGGTGTTGAGGGGTATTGGGCACACCAATGGCCCGTGGTGTCAGGGGTTCCATGCCAGGGGGGAGAAAACGAGGAATACGGCTGTTGCGATGGCGCAAGTACTACGACCTTCATGCTGTTACTGTGCAATGTCGTACAATCGTCGTATAATCGTACCTGACAGCCCTTCGTCCAGCGTGAACCTCTCCCGGCTCCAGTCACAGCTGGCCCCCAGACGACGAAGCTGGTTGGTGATGAAACCGCCGTACCTGTACGAAAAACACACACAGTGAATACGCGCGTACAGCCAACAATTGCCCTTGCCTCCCACTCGCTTCGACACGAGAAAGCAACCGTTACGAGCCCCCCGGTTCCCACTCCACTAGTAGAATCCAGATCCAGATTTTTTCCAGATCCAAATCCAACTATTTCAACACCAAGGGCCGCCGCTGTGAATCCTAAGCACAGTTAAAGCGGTGGACCCCGACATCCCAGCCGTCCCAAAGCTCTAAACCCCTCTTCAAGTTGCCCGCACGCCCATACCCCCGCGGCCTCCACTCTCCCCCCCTTTCCCCCCCCAAAAAAAACACACCACACCACTCACTCCTCCTTCCATTGCCACACCCGCCGCGTGAACTCCTCCCGCCCAAGCTGCAGCCGGGTGGTACCCTCCCTGGACAACATCTTCTCAACAACACTCTGTGGGGGGGATTGCGTGGGTAAGGGGGGGGGAAGTGTATTGTGTATTGCGTGTGTATGTGCCCGGGGCAACACACGCTCGGGAGTACTGAAACCCCCGGACACATACATACATCCATGCATACATCCATGCACACATACATACATACATACATACATACACGCACCCCTACCTGTGTGGCGATTCCCGCGTGATCGGTTCCTGGCAGCCACAGAGCCTTGCGACCGTTCATACGGGCGTAACGAATCATGATGTCCTGGCGTGTGAGTGTGCGTGTGTGTGTTTTGGGTAGGGGGGTCGGGGGGGGGGTAGGGGGTGGCCCGTTGGGGAGGCAGAGACCGGGCGAACGGGGGAAGACGGGTTAGGGTGCAGGGCGGTGCAGGGCGGAAGACGGGGTTAGGGGGGGAGGGGAGCTGCAAAAGGGAAGAGAGGGGGGGTAGACGAACCACGAAGGTGGGGAAAGCGGAGGGCGGGGGTAGTAGATAGGGGAGAAGCAGGCGGAGGGGACCGAGACAAGCACACAGGCAGACACGGTTCATGGCACCTGCATATAATTATGTACATACATACGCACATACGTACATATGTGCACACGTACAACAGGTGTTTGTTCGCTGCCACCCTACATGCCACCATGCCGCCCACCAGCCCTTCATGTCGTACCTGCAGGGTTGCAAACATCGCGTGCCCCATGTGCAGCTTGCCGGTTACGTTGGGCGGTGGCATGGAGATGGTGAAGGGCTCCCCCGGTGCCGACATGTCGGGCTTGAAGTAGCCTCTTGACTCCCACCTGGCGTCGTTTGACACCACCAACCAGGGGGGGGGGGCCGGGGGGGAGTTTAGAAGGGGTGTGTGTGTATGTTGGCGTGTGTGTGTTGGCGTGAAGGGTTGCGGGGCGTGGCCGGGGGGAAGTGTATGCCGTACTTGCGGTACGAGTTTGGCGTCTTGCCAGGGAAGGGGTCGGGTCGGGGCCGGGACGGGAAGGGAAAGGAGGGAAGGGGCTAGGGGGAAGGGAGGACGGGGAACGGGTAAGGAAGAGGTCATGCTCCTGGGGGGGGCAAGGGGATCGCGTGATGCTGTGTGTGTATGGGAAGGGGGGAGAGGAGTCTCGGCTGTCAGCTGGTGTGTCGTACACCGATATACATACATATGGGTTACACATACACAGTATGCATATGTGTGTATTTACGAGGTATTAACACCTATGGAAGCCGGGTATTGACCCCTCAATGGCAGGGGTACCGGAACCCCTGTATAGTGGGACGGCCCCCCAGCGGCCCTCACCAGTGGTAAATGCGCTCCTCTGCCGTACTGGCTTCAAAGTTCTTGGGCAGCTCAGGCCGCGACCCGCCCGTGGCCACCGTGCCAACCTCCTCTGCAATACAGGGTAACTAGGTCTTTTTTGTAAACCAGTTACTAGCGGGTACTCGCGCCATAAATGATTCAGGCTTCGGCCGAAAGCGGACAATTGTGTTTGGCGCGAGCCGACGTGGCGAGCATCATAGGTAATAGATTCACTCATATAAAAGTCTTTAATTTTAATGTTCTTATTTCACTTACGGACAGCTGCTGCTTGTAGCGCAGGTATTTGCTGGCGCCGTCCAATCGTTGCCAACGCTGGTCTGTTTTGCAACCAGGCGCTGCTCGTCGAGCCCAGGAGGCGCGACGCAAAGAATTTACATTGATGGACGCGCATTCCTATTTGCTCCCTTGGACGCCTTGCATCTCCTCGCGAGGACCTCGCCGGGCAACGACCCAGGACACCGCTTTGCATTTCACAGCAAATAATTGATTTAAATACTGTTAACCCTAATCACGGCGTACCATTGCCTTTCCTATTGTATTGGTCACCGTTTTGCAAGCCACTAGCTTGCACCGATGCCAAACAGCACAATACAAGGCCAAGCCTATGCCGTGCTCCAGCACTTCAGTATGTTTTACGTCCTCAGCAAAAATTACGTAGGAATTGTAATAACCCAAAATCCTAAACCGCAATTGGATCCTGATGTCGTACCAACCCGTACATCGTCGAACCAGAAAAGGACCTGGGCTTGCTAACTACTAGGTGCCCACCTAAATGCGGTCTTAAGGTGAGGTGATCGCTGGCGAAGAGGTGTTCCTTCAGCAAATCGGCTCAGCTAGTGTCACAGAACGTGGGCCCACTCTGTTTCTGAAAGATCGGAATGACAGGCGATACCTCCAAAGTCAAAGTAAGCAATCGCTTAAACTCTTGGCAGCGTGATGTGCTCCCCTACAAGGGATCTTTAGCGTTAGTAGCCAGTCGGCCAGAGTACCCGTCGGCTTACGGAGGTGCCAGGAGGCGCAAATACCTTGCATCTCCTGTCCCCCACCAACACGCTGCACAATCCTGATGTTATCGTTGAGGTAGGTGATTTTATGTCAAATTAATGACCTTTCTGAGGACCGGCCTTTTCGGCAAGCGCCGTACGCGGAATTGGGTTTCAAAGCGTACGCATGGTATGCAAGCCTGCGAAACTATGCGATAGTACTTATAATCGTCGGCGTGTCGAAAACAAGGGTGGGAAGCCCCCGGGGCCACACCGTTTGGGTTCACTAAAATAAGAGACACTACAATGCCAAGTCAAAGACATGGAGCGTCTCCTTTAAGTACTGTCCGCAAGCCGGAAGACATAGCTTACCCCATGGCTTGGTTTTTTCCAACGAGCCAAGAGGCTTCGTGTAAGATGCTCAGGGTTACCTCTGTCACTTATCCCAGAACAGTCCAACCAGCAAACCCTCAGATGCCGTGACACAGGTGACACTTCCCTATACCTTTGCAGCCCACTCCCATAAATACAAGTTGCAACCCTTGCAAGCAAAAGACATATAGGTCACAAAGATACAATTCTACGCCTGTGTGATCTTTGGGTAGGTTATAGTCGGGTGATAACAAGACCTGAGAGCTGACTGAGGGTATCTAAGCATGCGCCTCGGCGCGCAAGGCCCAATTACGACGTTTGCCATTCATAGACATAACAAGTTGCAGCAATTCGAGGTTTCTGACAGTTACCGGAGGCTTCGCAGGAAGGTCAAAATCGGAAACTGTTTCGCAGCCGCAGTACTGGTTTCGAAACTATGAGAGGTGCAAGTGAAAAAATGTCACGGCTGTACTCACCAGCGCAAATGTCACAAATGTCGCAGGTGATAGCTCAATCCCAAGTTGTCACCCTACATTGAGCAACGCCGCTATCAACTTAGGGTTTCAAAATGCGTCCACCCTTCTTCGATACGGGCATTTCAACGGGTTTGCGCCTACTGATAGTTGGCCTGTCTTACTTCCTCCTAGCTGCATGGCTAAAGTATAAGGTAGCTCCCAGGCCTCTGGGCATTACCAGAGCGATTGCTGCGCTGCCCATCTTTGTGGCGAACATCTTTTGCCCATGGCTTTTCAATGATGCCGACGAATTGATGCATCGCTTAAGCACAGCATTCGTTTTATCGTGGTTGTGCAACTTCAAGGTGCGTACCTCTGGCCGTTTGCGGCATGACTTGTGACGCTTACAAGGCTACATGTATCAACTCTACTCCTACAACTAGCATTAAAAATGCTTTAAAGCTTTTCATTTCGACCGTATCTGCCTTCGCAGGTACTGGCTTTCTGTTGGGGTCGACCACCTCTGCGGGTGAGCCTAGGGTACTGTTCGGACTGCGACCAGAAGCACTCAGCTGCCGCATCAACTCCAAATTGCATCTGATGCGAGCTCCAATTTATTGGTACATGCTTGCGAACCATTCAACGGCGAAGCCACAGATGGCATCGGCAGGGCTCGTCGGGGGAGTTTACCAACGGGGTCGGTTTCCGTCAGAATCCTGGATCCGCGCTGTCTTCCCAGAGCAGCTGCCGCTGTCACTCCCTCCGTGCTTACTATTCCTACACATCCTCCGTGTCCTTTCACCCGCCGCCGAACGTCACGTGCGTCGCGGCCCAGGCTACGTTTGTAGCCCAACTGCTCGCTCTCCGGCACATCGTCCGCTTTTCCGCTCTGTGTCCATCTTCACGTGGAACTCCCCCACCCAACCCCATCCCCCCACACGTAAGCACATACATACATACATACATACATACATACATACATACATACATACATACATACATACATACATACATACATACATACACCACCATCGCAATATAACTCATCGCGGCGCAGATCATAAAAACACACACGTACATGCCGTTTCCCGCCCTCACTGGTGTGTGTATGTGCCACTCCATATGCCGTACAGGATTCCATGACCGTTCTTCAGCTCGCGGCGGTTATCATGTTGCCGCTGTTTCCCAAGCCACGTGAGTGTACGTCCGTATGTATGTCCGTATGTATATCTATTTCCGTGCAGTTGACATCGTATCGTACATGTGCATGTAGTTCACATCATTACGATTGCTGTCGCCAGTAAACCCGTCCACGCCCCCCCCACTCTCCCCCTCCCCGTCCCCTTCCTGCCGCCAGCTGATAGCCACCTGGCCAGAAGTCCTAAGAAGGGGCGTCTCCACGACTCTGCGGGGTCCGGGGCGGTTCTCGCCTGGCGCTGGGTCGCCAAGATTGGTGAGGCGGTGGGGAGGAGGGGGTGGGGATGGGGGGAGGAGGGGACTGGGGTGGGGGGGGAGGAGGCGTCCAGAGGAGCGTGTTGGCCATCAGTTCGTCTGTCTGTATCACCATCATTGTCTTCTTCCTCTTTTTCCTTCTCGCCTGACATGACCCGTCGGACATGCCGCACCTGGCACCTGGCCAAGTACGGCGCCTAGGCGTGGTGGGGTGGGGTGCGACGAGGGGGCCTCCCGGCGCGCACACACACATGGACATAGACATACATATATACATACATACATACATGGCTGTGCTCCGTATTCTCCTACCCGCCTTGCCAACACGGCACCCGGCCACTCCCCCCTCCTACCCGCTGCTCGCTTTCCTCCCTACCCCAGCCCGGAGGCTTTTCGATCCCCCACGCGGCTGTGCGCTGCCTCTCCACCCACCTCACTCTTTGCTCGTAGTAGCACCTCCCATCCCTGCTCCTTTTTTCGTTTCTGTATGCCCCCCTTTCTCACCACCACACCACAAAACATATGTCGGTCGGTCACGTAAACACGTAAACCGGGCGTTACTTTTGGAACCATGACTGGGTGACTTGATGTCGCCCTCAGGACTTGGCACAGTTATTATTCCTGATGCCTCATGTGTCTCTCCTCCTGGACTATATCCGTCTATTTCTGGTATCTGCTTCACACGCCAGTATTTCGTCGTCGTACCCACCTCCTACCACACCCCATACCACCCCCTGCAGCGCTGCTGGGTTCCATGGCGTACATGCTCCTCAAGTACGGCGACTTGATGCCTGGAGTGGTACGACATTACGTGTACGGTGAGGGGCTAGGACGTTATGGGGTAGGGCGCATGAGCGCATACACGTGCAAATGCTCGTACATACACCCCCCTACACCCCTACGTTTCAAACCGGTCTCCGCTTACCCCCCCGGCTCCAACCCGCGCCCCAACCCAACCCCTAACCCCCCTCCTTCCACTGATGTGCGTGATCCGGCTTTCCCCCCCCCGCTTCAATCGCGTGTGGTTCGTCTTTCCCCCCCGCCCCCTCACCCGTGTGCGTATGTATGTATATGTCGCACGCTCCTCCGCCAGCCTTCGGTTTGTACAGCTTTGTGGGCGTTCTGATGGACGGCCCCGCGGCCTTGGCAGTGGAGGCGCTGGGGCTGCAGCTCATACCCACATTCGACCAGCCCTGGCTGGTGAGAAGACCGGGGTGGGGTGCGGGGAGGTGCGCGGGGGGATGTTGGGGAACATGATGGGCAAAGGTACGACGGGTTTTGGGTGGTGTACGGCAGCTGAAGCCGGTTTATGTGGTGGATGTACAGGGCATGCCAATTAATGCATGCGTAGGGGGCCCAGCGGGACACTCCTGCTGTGTATGGGGGTAGCCGGGGGGAGGGTTGAGGACGGGGCCGGGGCGGCTACTTGGCGCGTGGGGAGGGGGGGAGATTGGTTGGAAATTTGTAAGGTATTGCGGTATTTGCGATGACGTGAGGGGCAGCTCCGATTGACTTCGGAGGTGCCCCGATGGACTCCAGGGAAGGGTGAAGACACACATACACACGGGCTTCCTGTCATTGCAACCTCCGTACATTCCCCTGCCCCCCCTCACCCCGCCCTCACCTGCCCCTCACCCCTCACCCGGGCCCCCCCTCACCCCCCTCACCCCACCCCGGCAGAGCTCCTCCCTCGCCGATTTCTGGGGGCGCAGGTGGAACATACCGACGGCATCCCTTCTCCGTACAGTCGTGTACGACCCTGTCATAGACGGCTCCCTCGTACCGCGTGCCCACCACGCCCTGCACCACAGCACCTTTGCGCCGCCACCACCACCGCCGCCGCCGCCGGCAAAGCAGCCGGAACAGGATCCGTCAGGTTACCGCCACGATCTAAGTCCGTCGTCACCGCGAGAGGAGATGCCGTCGCCGCCGCAGCAGCAGCAGGCGCACCACCGTAACGGCTACATTACCAAACCCCAACAGCGTCATCACCACCATGATCACCACGATCACCATCAACATCATCATCATCATCATCCGAATCAACAGCAACGTGTCAGTGAGCTGCGGCGGCAGCTGGGGCTCCACGCGACCTTTCTGGTCAGCGGCGTGGTCCACGAGTACATCGCCTGGCTGGTGAAGGCCAAGTGAGTAGGAGTACGACGTCGGGAGAAACGCTGTACGAGATGCCGTACGCGGTGAATAGATAACCTGGATAACTCTTACTAAATTTGGCGGTTGACGTTGCTGGTGAATGCTTGTTTTGTCGACTGGAGTGAAAAGCTTCTTTGCCGCAGATCGCTGATTTTCATGCTGCAGCAGCAGCAGCAGGGCAGGGGAGAAAGAATTGAGCTCTCATGAATTGTTTGCTGCTTCGCTGAAGCGTTATGTCATATGTCGTTGTGCGAAGTAAAGCGCGGCAGGGAAGAAAGTGCTATATCACGACTACATATAGTACAGAAAGATACGTCGTTGTTGGTTGGTTCGCCGTTATGAAGGCAACAGACCTTGGCGGTTTGTCGGTTTGTACAGTTTGTCGGTTGGTTGGTTAATGGTTGCAGGATCAGCAACTGGTCACGGGAGATTTCGCCCCCTTCGTCTGTGCTTCGTCCTACCCCCCCCCCCGCTACCCGCCGCCGCTGGTTCCTGTCCTGTCCTGTACATGAGGCTTTAGCCGACATGGCTCACTCACATACATACACATACATACACGTACACACACATTAACCGAATTGCGGGTATTTACGTTTGCAGTGACGACTGGGGCTGGAAGTGGACTGTGTTTTTCTGGATCCAGGCTCCGTTGCTGACCCTGGAGTCCCTGGCGGGCCGGGCCATGAGGCGGGCGGGGCTGCAGCTGCCCAGACCAGTGGCCATCGTACTGACATTGGTGGTGCTCGAGGTACGCGAAGGGGGGGGGATGGGGGGGTGGGGTGGGCAGAGAGAGGGGGGTGGGAACTCTCGTGACCGAAACACACACACACACACACACACGCGCACACTGTGACATGGGCGTGTCAATACACGGGGAAACGTCCCCTGTATTGAGAGCGCTGTATGTCAAAGAGTGAAATGCACCTGAGTACAGAACGCAATCATGCGATGAGAAGCCGGAGGGGCAGTCGGAGCCCTCATCGGGTGGCGGTTGGGCAGGGGCGTGGCATGGGAGAGGGAGGGGGGGATTGGGCTTTGGACGGGAAGAGCGTAGGGGGGAGGCACCTTGGTATGTACGATGATAGGTACTTCATATTTTGTATCCGTATCCAGGCCTTTTGAAGAAAAGGGAAAAAATGTTGGAAAACATTATGCTCTCCGAAGCCGTTTTGACAAGTCGCTCCGAAACCGGTCGCTCCCCTCGCACGCATGTTGCAGCTGCTGGCGTACGATTTGTTCTTTGGCTTCGTGGAGAAGGACACCGACCTGGCCTCGAGGGTGGTTGCGGCGGTTAGCTCCGGCTACAACATTGTGCAATCGCCGCTACGTCCCGTGTTCGCCAGCCTGGCTGCGGGGCTGAGGCTGTAGCACAGCGTGTGAGAGAGCCGGCTGTAGCAGCACGACGTGCATGGTGTGACGTCATGCGAAGGCCGCTGGCTGCGGTCAGGGGGAAAGGGCTTTTGCTGCACTAGCAGTGGTGTGTGTCTCCAGCGCTGAAGGCCGAAGACGGGGTCTGTAGCAGTGGCAGTGGCAGTAGCTGCCGATCGGGATCTAAGGTGAACTCTAGAATCATGTGGGGATGGAGGCAGTAGCCACCGCGACCTCCCCCCGCGTCTCTCCAGGTGTGTTTTCCTGGTCTTTTCTTGTCGTACCTCTCACGGCTGTGTGGTGGTACGGACCGCTGATATTATTTCCTTTCTGCCGTACATGCAGCTCTGTTTGTTGGGAGATTTTTGAGGCAGCGGAAATATTAGTATGTTTAAGATTTGGGGGAGATATATACGCACAGGGTTTGCACGGCTCATCAGGTGTCGCGGACAGTGACCTTCACTCTTAGCATTAGGATTCCGTCTTTTTTAGTCCTTTTTGGGGGTTTCGTTTCTCAATTTTAATTCCCGCGAGGGGCGGGAACGTGGAATGCCCGGATGCTGCTCGTTTTTGTGCTCGTGCATGTGTTTCAGACGAGAAGCTGCTCGGTGGGGCTCGAAGTACTGCGGCGGCGAGTGGTGCAAGGAGTAAAGGTGTACCTTTGCGGTGTCAAATTCGAAGGACTGGTCTTCCTGAAAAATCTGCGTTTTGTATATTGTATGCGCGGCTGTTGGTAGCGGGTTGTTTGGTACGGCGGTTACTGGGATATTATAATTTGCACAACATGAAAAATGCGGAAATTTAACCAAGTTTTTAGATGAAGCTGAATTACTGTACGGCACTTTGAAACAGTGCTTGTTATCATTTTTTGTTGTATCTGCATAATTGTTGCAAATCATTGGAAGAATGTCAATCAATTGTGAAGATGGAGGATAGTTTTGAGGTAAGAAGACATTTTATGCGTTATGGGAGCGGATTTAATGTTTTGAGTGAAATGTTACTTGTGGGCTGTGGGGGAACGGTCCTGGCGTTTCCTGTTTGCAGACATACATACGCACACACAAATACATACATATATACATCCATATATGGTTAAGTTAGGAATTTCTGGTAAGGTTCAGACTCTTTCCCCCGGGAGATCCCGGGATCGAGACCTGTCAGGGTCGAAAATCCTGTCGATTGTGGAAGGTAAAGTGTCCCTAGATGATGGACGGTGGAGACCTGGGATAAAGTTAACCTGCGAGCCGACCAGGAACGGAGTTGGGCCGCTGTCGATCCGGCCGATTCCGTTGGATGCTGGTGGTGGGTGTTAAACCTGAATGAACCATTGAGGAGTTGACTAGGGGGTGATTAGTTGAGGGTGCCACGAAATACCGGGGAAGGCAGGGTTTCGCCGGGTAGCGACCGCGGGTGAAGGTCTGAACCCCCTGTCCCACACATCATACATACATACATATAGTTACAAGTTTTAATTCGCACGTTCCGCACGCATGTCGGGGGGTGTCTGTAAAAGCCGCGGGGCCATAAATACATACATACTTACGTCTATACATACAGTGTCGATAAGCATGACGCCATGCGGATTGCCCCAAGGTGAAGTATTGGGCAAGGCCGTGATCGTTTGTTCGATATCGGCCACGGTTTTGTTCAAGCCATGGTGAGGTCAGATCCGAGTCATGAAGTCGCGAGGCAAAGCTTCTAAGTGGCGTCTTCAGCGGCGAATGAGGCGTGCCGGCGCTTTCCTTTGAGTCCATGTTTGATATGTTTGATATAGTGTGCCGACAGCGCGTTTCTTGCAAGTATGCTCTTTGCCTGGCGGTTGTCGGTTGTCTTGTGAGTGCAAATAGGCCCCTAGCACAAGATATGCTCATAAGTGTAATTATCCTGTTCAGAGATTAGGTACGTGCGTAGGATATGTTGCAGGTGTTGTGAGCGTAGACATCCTCCTTTTGCTTTTGTCACAGTTTGGTGCCCTAATGACAGGTTGGCCATCGTTGTCGTAAATGACTGCCCGTTCAGTTCATCCTGTCATTGCCGGCTTCAATGTTAAGCATTCCCCAAAAGCTCATCGAACAGATAAGCCTGGGAAACCACATAGTTAAGGTGTATGGTTATCGGACAGGCATTTTGGCTGGAGTACCGGTATGAGAGGAATCGAACAGCGCACCCGTACAAGTTCAGGCCACTGATCCGCGGAGTCTCGGACAGTTGAAAAAGAACGAAGCGTGGCGCTCTATCTTTTCTCCGGCAATTATTACTTGTTCTAATCCTTCTAGATAGCATCAGGAGTTAATAATGGACTTTATGCGGCCGCCGGTGATCAACACAGAGACTTCGTCAGCATTTCGCATTACAGTTCTGGTCAATATCCATATCTTTTTCGGCATATGGATAAAACACTTTGTTGTTCGTTTACCGCTTGGCCTTTCCCGGTTGCTGGCCGTGCTACCTCTTATTGCGGTTCAAATCGCTAGCCCATGGTTCTTTGACAAGGACACGGAACCGCTCCAAGTCTTCTGCATAACCTTTATCGTGAGCTGGCTAGGTCTTTTCAAGGTAGGGCATCATTAAAGTGCCCCAATCCCCTCCACCTCAGCCCCTCGCCAATCTGCGCCGGCACTCTGCCGCCCTACCCCTGCTTTCTCTACCACACCACTCCGCTCACTCCGTCCTGAAGGACACACGCGCGGCCCTTTTTTATCCTCTTCTCGCCCTTTTGCAGGTTTTGGCGTTCTGCTGGGGCAGAGCGCCATTGCGGGTAGGTACAGAGGCACAGATCGGAAGTACCCGCCCCTTTTCCCCCAACCCGAGATAAAAACCGTTGGGGAGAGGGGGAGGAGGATGGGGAAGGGTGGGGGACGAGCTCCCCAGTCGCCGGGCGGGGGCATTGCAGGCAATCGCCGGAGAGCTGTGCACGACAAAAAACCCAAGCCCGCCACGATGGCCCTTCCCCTGCCGTACTTCACTCCCCCTGCCGTACAGGAATCCATGACGGTTGCGCAGATCGCGGCCTCCCTGGCCCTGCCGCTGTTCCCCAAGCCAGGTGGGAATGCACACGATATGTGCGTCTGTATGATGTGTGAAACAGGGGGGTGTATCTTCGCCCGTGGCAGCTACCCTGCGAAACCCTGCCTTCCCCGGTATTTCGGGGCACCCTCATCCAGTCACCCCCTAGTCAACTTCTCAGTGGATCGCTCAGGTTCCGCACCCACCACCAGCATCCAACGGAATCTGCCGGGTCGACAGCGGCCCAACTCCATTCCTGGTCGGCTCGCAGGTTAACTTTATCCCAGGTCACCACCGTCCATCAACTAGGGGCACAATGCCTTCCACCATCGGAAGGACTTTTTGACCCTAACGGGTATCGATCCCGGGATCTCCCGGGGGCAATGGTCGCGCGTTACCAGTAGTGCCAAACCCTGTGTACGTGGGTGAAGGTGGGGCTTGGGGTAAGCCCTTCAGCCTCCCGTGCCGTGTCCTCGTGTGCTCTGTCGTGCAGATGTGTTTCGGAGAACCTTTTGCCGACCCCCGGAAGGGGGGATCCGCGCGCCCGAACCGGCCCCTTGCGCTGCACACACACACACACACCAGCTCCGAGGCCCCGGCATTCTTCTTCGTCCTTCTTTGCCAACTAACTACCGCCGTAACTGCCAACCGCCGCGGGCCCCGCCCGCCCTCCAAACGGCGCCAACGTCGGCGATTGATACTTTGATCTTGCTTTTTGTAACCCCCATTTGGCCACCAGCCCCCCTTCCCTCCCTCCCCCCTTCCCTCCCTCCCTCCCTCCCCCCTTCCCTCCCTCCCCCCTTCCCTCCCTCCCTCCCTCCCCCCCCTCCCCCCCCTCCTGCTATATGGCACACGACAACAGTAACCCGCAAGAAGGCGGCTCCGGAGGGGCGACTGCAGGACTCCGCGGGCTCGGGAGCCGCTCTGGTGGCCACGTGGCTGGGCAAGACAGGTGGGAAGGGGGGGGAGGGGGGGGGAAGGGGGTAATACACACACATACACACAAGAGTGCGCATGCTCCTTTCCAACACGTACATTGCGTGCTTCCACCTCCTTAAGCATCCTCCACACACATACATACATACATACACACCACACCACACCACACCACACCACACCGCGCTTTTTGTCCCTTGCTGACTTCTCTCCCCCTCCCCCTCCCCTCGCCCGAGCCTTTCCTCAGCCCTTGGGGTCGTCGTGGTCCTGTCGTACATGGAGTATCGTGATGTCGTACCGGCAGTACTAAAACACTACTTACTCGGTGAGGGGAACCCCAGGGTCGCGATTACTGTAGCAGTACAGCAGTACAGCTAGGAGCAACCCCCCTCAGGAGTCTCCTCACGCCCCCAGTCACCCACTTCGCCTACCACCCACCCGCTCACATCACCCTACTCGTCCCGACCCCTTCCCCCCTTCCCGCCGTCCGGCGACATCTCCCCCATTCCCCCCCCTAGCCTTCACCCTCTACTCCATGTCGGGTATCCTCATGGACGGTCCCGCGGCTCTGGTGGTGGCGCTGCTGGAGCTGCCCGTGCTGCCGACATTCGACCAGCCCTGGATGGTGGGTGCAAATGGTGACGGTGGGTACAACTACCACCCGGGCTACATGAGCCGAACTCAGTCTCGAACCGAGCTCCGGAACCAACCCATGAGCTCTTCGGAGTGGCTTTGCCCCCACCGTTTATCCCCCTCCCCGTCCCCGCCGCCTCAGAGCTGGGGGAGCTCCGGAGGTGTCGTCCGCGTGTATGTGTGGTGTGTGCGTGTGTGTGTGTGTGTGTGTGTGTGTGTGTGTGCGTGTGTGTATCCCCCACGTCCCACACCACCGCCTTTCTCCCCGGCGGGGCCCCCTCGCATCCCAGACATCCACACAGCAACATCCCGTCAACACAACCTTCCCCCCTTCACACACATACACACAGGAACACACACACATATACACAGGAACACACCCGCAGATGCTGTTGGTGCTACTGTTGTTGTGTCGTTGTTGTGCTCTGTACTGCACATTGTCGTCGTCATCGCAGAGCGCCTCCCTCGCCGAGTTCTGGGCTCGCCGATGGAACGTCCCAACCACATCCGTACTCCGTACGGTGCTGTACGACACATGCGTCGAGGGCTCCCTCATCAACCCCGTTCTTCTGGCGCCAGGGCGGGGAGGGCATCCAACCAACTCCAAACAACCGCAACTACCAACAGGCAACGGTAATGGCCCCCCAGGGCCCTCCCCCAACGGGTTACACCCCACCACCCCCCCGCGGCGGCCCCGCTGGTCCCCCGCGGTACGGCGGCAGCTGGGGCTGCACCTGGTCTTCTTCGTGAGCGGTGCGGTCCACGAGTACATGGCCTGGCTCCTGACCGGATCGTGAGTCACAGTCTCACTGGGCCGAGCTGCGAGAGTATGCATGTATGCATGTATGTATGCATGTATGTATGCATGTATGTATGCATGTATGTATGCATGTATGTATGCATGTATGTATGTATATATGTGCTGCTGAGAAGGGAGGTCCAACAAGGGTCAGTCCGGTCTAATTCCGCTTCTCCTCCCCACCCCCGGCCCCACCCGGCCCCACCCCCCGGCCCCCCCCGCCCCCGCCCCCGGCCCGGAACAGTAACCGGATCAGTTGGAAATGGACTGTGTTTTTCTGGATCCAGGCTCCGTTGCTGACCTTGGAGTCCTTGGCGGGGCGGGCCATGAGGCGGGCGGGGCTGCAGCTGCCCAGACCGGTAGCCATCGTACTGACGCACCTAGTGCTTCAGGTGGGTGGGGGGTTGGGTGGGGGGTGTATGTGTGTCACACGTTACTTGCCTTCCCGCTCTCTGGCATGTATACGGGCGTACGGCGTGTGTGTATGGCCCCCGTTGCTTCTTCGGCCCCTGACACCCCCGACCGCGCCTCTCCCCCTCTCTCCCCTCCTCTCCCTCATCATGTCGTTGTACGGCTCCTCCTGCTCCATGTACGGCGGATTTTCCCTCAGTCCCTGGCGTACGACCTGTTCTTCGGCTACATGGAGGAGCAGGGCATCTCCTTGAAGGTCGTGGGCGCCATCTCAGACTGCATATGGGCTGTGCTACGGCCGCTGCAAGCCGCCTTAATGACCTGACGGCTGTAGCTGTAGTCCGCAACCGCCGGCGGCAGTAGTCGCACTCGGGCTCTCCTGCGGTGCATTGCGGCACGGAACTGCAGCACCGGTAGCGCGGCAGTAGCTACCACCGGCTGTTCCCTGTCATCCACTCCAATCCCCGGGCTGCAGCTATTTTAATATTAAACTTTCTTTTTAGACAGCGCCTTACCTTACCTTACCTTACCTTCTGGCGCTCTGACGGCGCGCGGGGGGATTGTCGACGTGCGGCCGCAGGGCCCGTAGAGGCAGATTTGGCGGAGTCCAGGCTGGCTGGCTTTTAACCCCCCTTTGCTGTACGGCATTTGTGTGGCTGTACAACCCGTAAAGCGGTGCGTGGTGGTTGGTGCAAGGATCTAAATTTTTTTTTGTGTGGGTGCTCGAGTTGGCAGTTGGCACTGCTGTTGCTACTTTTTGGTGATCTCATGATGTTGATGTCGGTGACATCATCGCAGCATTTCCATGAGCTCTGAAGTGACCGCTGTTGTATTTGGAGGGTGTGGGGTGATCCAGTGCTGTTCCTCTTAGCTTAGCGTGGGGGCGCGTGTATAACTGCCTGCCTCAGGCAGTCAGGTAGGTAGGTGTGTATTGGTTGAAAATGACTGTATGGACAGTGCTTTTTACAGCAGCAGCTGCAGCTGCACACTATCGGTAACAGCAAATTGATTTCTCAAGCAACTTCATGAACGGTGGCCAAGAAAAAAAACAGGAAGGGCAAATTTTAAGTAGTGGTTGGTTCGCTGGTTGAGGGACCTCCAGTTTTGCGTTCGCGCGCGTTCGTACATCTGCATGTATATATATTATATATATGTATGTATGTGTATGTATGTCCGTCTGTATGTGTGCGGGCGAATGGAATGTGTTGGCCAATGGCCATGCGACAGAGGCGGTGTGGAGGCGCGAGCATGGGGCGGTGAACGCGTGAGACGTATACTACACAGCCAACAATGATTCATGAGTTCGCAAGCGTGCCCCTGTCGACCGCGTCGGTGGGAATGGACCTTGTCGGTGTCTTGTGTCCGTCCTGCGGCTCTGAATACAAAGTGATGCCCAATCGGTGCGTCAAGATTTTAAAATCATGTCGCAGGAGAAATGGGCCATGTGTGGCCCCGCCTGGCGGGGCATTGGCCTCCCGCAGCGCGGGGAGGAGGAGAGGGAGCGGCTATGTTCTGGTGTTGAGGGTGGTTAGTTAGTTAGTTCTGGATCCGGAGGATCTGGAGCATCATCCCTCCGGCTCATATAGCAGGAGGCGGCCTTTATGGCCCTCTCCCTCCCTCGGCTGTCATCGGTCGTCATCATCCTGTGCGGTACCTGGCCACTGCCCAGGGCCCTGCGATGAGATGGGCTTTCGCTGCCTTTGACTCCGCAACACCGGCATAAAAGTTGTACACAAGGCGAGTGCGTTTGTGGCTTCTGGAGGCTTCCCCGGTCGGGTGCTTCGGATCTCCGCCGTATTATATTATATTATATTGGTACAGCGGTACAGCGTGTGCGCAGCCGGGCTAGGTGAGGGCGAGGACGTGTTGAGGTTTCCGCTATGACAGCAACACGAAGTCATCTCCTACTGGGCATCATGGGAGATGCATCAACCCTCCGTGACCGAGTTTCGCTTGTGTTAAGACCAGCAAAGCGCCGGGACCCCGCCGGGTCCTATTACTGCTGTTACCATCCTCTGGTATATGAGTGACGATCATCTCCAACAGCTTGTTTGCAAGGATTTGTTCACCGGATATTTGAGCTCCCGAAGGATTCAGCGAATAGACATTACGATTAGTACGGCACCTGCGGCCCAGCGGGTCGCTCGGCATCCCAGGGAGCTTGCCATCCGCAAAGTTTGTTTTAGGAATACAGACATGATAGCGAGCAAAGCTTAATCTGCCCCGATGGAACCATCTCGATCTGAGACTGAGCAAGGGTGATTTATTATAAAAAACTATCAAAAGCTAACATGTAGAAGGGTAACCAGTAGGAAATGAGTTTTATAACACCGGCTGCGGTCAAGGCTATCGCCTTGAGCGTGGATGTTACACATTTAACTGAGGAGGCCGCAAAGGCGCTCGCACCGGATGTGGAATATAGGCTGCGAGAAGTCATCCAGGTACAGTCGAAATTTGGCGTATGCAGCTTACGTCAGGGCTCCAGGTACCGTCCTTGCACGGGAACGGCGCGCAGGATGCGCTCAAGTTTGCGCGACACTGTAAGCGAACGAAACTTACAATCCAAGACATCAACAATGCGATGCGGCTTCGTAACCTCGAGGTGGGATGCCGCTACGCTAAACGTTTTGGCAATGTCGGGTGGCGATGTTATAGCCCTGGTTCTCGCAACCCATGACACAGGTGGGCGCATATGCCCACCCAACCACCAGCACCACACGCGACCTTCCGCTATTCCATACCTTCCAACACGATGCCTTTTGTCGAATCTGCACATGTTGATGTCCTCCCTCCGCGCACCTCAGCCCATGTACGGTTTTCTGGGCAACAACGACCCGGCCAAGTTCGTTCGCGCCACGGGCCACTCCGATGTCTATTTTGTCCATGACGCCATGGTGCCGCTGGAGCAGGTGCGACCTGCCTGTCGGGCGGCCTGCCCGCCCGCCCGCTTGGCTGCGGGAGCGCCTGGCTGTCTCCCCCATGCATACACGCTGGAGGCGTGTGCCACTCATGACTTTCAAAGCGGAAAAAAAACCTCGGAATCTCCTGCATGGCTGCATGGCTGGTTTTGTTTGGGGGCCCCCTTGCTACGCCTCGAGTTGCGGAGGGCCGCGGGGTGGGGTGGTGTGGGTGAGGAAATGGCTTGGGAGAGGACGGCAAGCGTGCGGTCGTTCACGGCACAGGTAGGGCAGGTAAGGGCTCCTCCTGCAGTGCAGAGTTTACTGAAGTTACGTAGCGGCATCTCTCAACCGGATAGGGGGTTAGGGGGTGAGAGAGAGAGAGACACAGGCACATCAAGGTACATCAAGTATCAATCAGGTTGGGCATCTGGATCCAGGTCTCTTTCTTTCCGCGCCTTTCTCCCCGGCCTTCCCTTCCCATGACAATGGATCCGCCTGCTTCCCCCCTTCCCCCCGCGGCCCCCCGACACACATACATACACATACACATACACACCCCGTTGGCCACCTCCGCTTTCCCCTATCTCCCCGGGCACACACATACACACGCTCACGCTCACACGCTCACCGCCCACACGCTCGCACACAATGATGGTGAACACGTAGATAACCTACGCGCCGCTGCCCAAGGCGCCCAACCACACCACCGTCATGCCACACTGGCTGTTCATCGAGGGGGTGCAGCCGCACACGGAGGAGAATGCGGCGGTGGAGAGGCCGCCGCCCCCGGCCAAGCGGCCGCGGCTAGCGGCGGCAGTAGCAGCGGGGGGGGCTGCAGCCCGTGGAGGCGCCGGCGCGGGGCAGTCCCCGGCAGTGACAGCCACTGGGGCGCCGGATAGCTCAGCTGGCGGACGGGGCAAGCGAGGTACGGCTTGTACGGAACCGTACGGATGTGCGAGTGGCTGTGTACGGAATGCAAGGAGCATTATATGCGCGTTACGCTCCTCCAGAATGGCCTTCGGTTGGAAGCGGCAAGACCTGTTTTTTTTTGCGTGTAGTAGTACACGAACTGGGCTTCTTGGTGGTGGCCCTGTAGGGTAGGCAGGTACCCTGCTTCGTTTTGCAGGAGGGGGGAAGGAAGAGAGGAGGGTGGGGAGGCGGTAGTGGTGCTTTGCGGCTCCGGGCAAAGCCCCTTGGTGTTGGCTTGCCCCTTCCTGGACCCGTACTCCCCCGACCGGCGTGTGTGGTTTGCGTGTTTTAGGACCCCAGGCCACCCACCCGGCGCTGGGGTGCCCCCGACCCGCCCTCCTGACCGCCCCTCTGGCGCAGGGGCAGCACCCGCGGCGGCAGCAGCACAGGGAGCAGCGGCGGCGGAGACAGGCGCCTCCCCGGGCTCGGAGGGGGGACCCGGCACCGCGGGTTCGGTTTCGGAGCGTGTTCAGCTGCCGGTGCAGCACATACTGTCGGACGAGATGCAACGGCTGTTGGAACAGGTACGTGCAGACATTATAATACATACATACGCACATACATACATACATATATACATACATACATACATACATACATACATACATACATACATACATACATACATACATACGGACAGGGTGAATAGGTTTCTGGAGGACCAACCGTTCAGGTTAGTGGCGGTAAGGGGGAGGCGCCGCGCGGGCTACAATCCTCCCCCTGCGGTTTTCTGGAGGGTCTAGGAGCTGTGTGTCGTGGCAACGCTATCGCTTTTGTGTTTCGCCGGTCTATCCCGGGCTCCTGCAGTGGTGATCGGGCTTGTGCGTGGTCCCTTTTCTTTATATGGCTACTTCTCCCCTGGACCAGCCCAGGAAGGGACAGGTAGTGGAGGTCAGTTGTTTTAAGGTGGTTGCAAGACGTCTTGTGGTGTTGAGCTTCTTAGCCTTTCTCTCTTGGAGGTTTTTTGTTGGCCTGGTAGGTATATCAGGAGCCCTCCCCTGCCGGGACTGCCCTAACCGAATTTTGTTTGTTTGTTTTTTTCCCTTAGGATCCCGTTTTCGTTGGTGGTGTTTTGGGGGGTTGTTTCAGAGAGCCTTTGACTTTGCCCTAGCTGAGACTTGTGGACTCGCTCTAGCGGGACCTGAGAGCCCTTCGTGGTGTTTTCACTGCAGCGCCATCCCCGGATGGAGGGGCTGCGGAGTGGCTGCGTAGAGTGTTGGCAGTCTGAGTCGGGGTCGGGAGCACACAAGACTAACCGACTTGTGCTGTGTGCTCCCGACCCTTGCGCTGTGTTTCGGCTTCCGCCCCCGGCTGTCGCGGCCCACAGTGTAATCTAAGTCATACATACTGACTGACTGACTGACTGACTGACTGACTGGCGATCTATCCGTGCTGCTCGGCCTCCTCTCGAACGAGTCGGGCCGCATCAGGTGTGGATCTAGACCTTAACCATCAGGTGTAACCGCATCAGGTGTGGATCTGGATTTGGATTTGGATCTGATGGTACTTGGATTCTGTGTCGCAGATCAAGCAGATTCTTGGCACTGCGTCGACGTCAGCGCCTGCGGCTGATGGTGGCGGTGGTGGTGGCGGTGGCGGGGCGCTGTGGGGCGCCGTGGACGAGGGCCCCGAGGGCTCCTCTTCAGGTGCTTCATGTCTGGTGTTGAGCCCCATGCAGAGGGCCATACTGGTGACCATGCAGACTGACCCAGGTAGGGCTGGTGGGGTGGGGTGGGGTGGGGTGGGATGAGGTGGGGTGGGGTGGGGCACCTGTCGTAAAGCTAAGGGCGAGGGGAAAGGAGGGAAAGCGACTTGGGTTTACAAATGTTGGAGGGGCCCGCGAGGGGGTGGTTGGAATGATGGACGGGGCGGTGCGGGCAGGGAGTTTGGGGTTGGCGGTTAAGGACTACCTGTGCTCGGAGAAGGTAGGGTGAGGAGGGTGAGGATGAGGATGGGAGGTATATCTGGTCGCCGTAATGCTTCAGTTGCAGCGGCGTGATTGGGGAGAACACTACTACCGTGTTGCCGTATTGCCGTATTGCCGTGTTGGAGGAATCTTAGGTAGGTAGGTGGGTAGGTGGTGACTTTCCCTCCTGTATTGGTTGCGAAACCCCATCCCGCCCGGCCCCGCCATCACCTCCCCGTGTCGTCGTCCTGCTTGTCTCACCTCCCGGGCTCGTCTGGGCCCCTCTCTCTCTGGGGGCCCCCCTCTGCTGCCCCCCCGCTCTCCCCCGACTCTTTCGCCTTCTTGTGTCCTATGGTGGCGGCCTCCCCCCCCCCGCGCCGCTCAGGCATGCAACAGCTGCTCCCCTACCTGACCAAGTTCGTGTGCGATGAAGTTGCTGGGGGGCTGAGGCACCTGCCCCGGCTGCAAATGGTGCTGAGGGTGATGCAGGTGGGGGGGGCTGGGGGGGCCGGAGGGGAGGGGCAAGAGGGTGGAAGAGGTGTTTGGGGAAGGGAAATGGGAGTGTTCAGGGGGTAGGGGGGGTCAGGGGCGGCTCAGGGGCGCGCAGGCCGCACCGAACCCGGCTCAGCTCTGGCGAGCAACGTGTGCGAGATCCTCGCGGCTACTCCTCCTCCTCCTCCGCCGCCGCCTGCTCCTGACGTGGCTGCGGCTGCTGCCCCGTGCGGAGGTACCCGGGAGGGGGAGACCGAGGGAATCGTGTCAGCACCGAGTGTGTATGTGTATGTGTGTATGGTGTGTGTATGGTGTGTGTATGGTGTGTGTATGGTGTGTGTATGGTGTGTGTATGGTGTGTGTATGGTGTGTGTATGGTGTGTGTATGGTGTGTGTGGGTGTGGTGAGGGAGGTAGGGATGTCGGCGTAGAGCTTTCTTTCTCTCTCTCTCTTCGCATTTTCTATCGTAGCCCCTTCGTCCCTCGTACCAGCCGCATGGTTCGCCGGCCTGACACCCCCTCGTCCTCCCCGTCCCTTCACCTCCCTCCCCCTCCCCCTCCCCCTCCCCCCTCAGGCTCTGCTGCTGAACCCCTCGGTCCAGTTGGAGCCCTACCTGCACAACCTGATGCCGCCACTGCTGACGTGCTGCCTAGCTAAGGCGCTAGGTGCGGGTGTATGTATGTATGTATGTATGTATGTATGTATGTATGTATGTATGTATGTATGTATGTGACATGTGACATGTGACATGTGACATATGTAGTATCACGACGTGTCTGTATGTGTCTGTGGAAATAATTAAAACTGATCCTTTGTGTATGTATGTATGTGTGTGTGCGCGACATGTGTATGTACGGCACCAGGTCCCGGTCCCCGTTGCGACCACTGGAGGCTGCGGGACTCTGCGGGCTCCCTGGTGGCGGCGGTGTGTGGCCGCTTCGGGGAGCCCTTTTACAGCCTCAAGGTGCGGAACAAGGAGGGGAAGGGAGGGGAAGGGAGAGGGTGGGGATACGGACATACATACAACCATCTCTTCCCGCCCTTATTTCCGGGTTGGGCTGCTTGGGCTGCTTGAATCGGTCGTAGGGTCAGGGGGTCTGTGTCATCTGGGGGCGGGGGGCTGGGAAGAACACATATGCATGCATGTGTCAGCTAGCATCGTAGCAGCACAGCCTAAAATCAGCCAAAAATATGGTTCATCGGTTGGTAACTAACTTAAAATGTAGAGAAACTTCCCTCGCAGTATATTTGTTTTTCCTATCCCTGGAGTATCCGTCATCATCCATCCATCCGCGGTGGTTCGTCGCCTTACCCCTGTTTCCGCACAACCCTTGCCGCCCCACCACCACCACCACCACCACCACCAGGTCAAGGTGTCGAAGCAGCTCCTCCGCGCGCTGCTGGACGGCTCCAAGCCGCTACCCAGCCATTACGGTGCCGTGATGGGCCTGGCGGCGCTGGGACCCGCCACCGTTAGGCTGCTGCTGCTGCCACACTTGGAGCCCTACCTGGCCAAGTTGCAGCCGGCCCTGGAGGCGAGGCAGGAGGGGATGAGGCAGTACGAGGCGACGCGGGTGTACGGCGCACTGCTGACAGCGGCAGGCACGGCGATGTACGACAGGCTAGTGGGTACGGCGGCGGATGGGCTGCTGCCGGTTCACCTGTTCCGGGCGGGCAGGTGCGTGTGCGTGTGCGTGTATGTATGTATGTGTGTGTGTGAGGTGGAGGGGGGTGAAGAGGGGAAAAGGGAGGTGAGGCACGAGCTGGTGCCTGTGGTGTTTCCAGCAGCACCTGAGGTTGTATTCGGGTGTAGGGTGTAGGGTGTAGGCATGCCGGCAGAGTCACGTGCAGGCTCTCAGCTGGAGCTTTGCTGTTACGTATTCGAAAGCAAGTTGCTTCAGGTACTTCGTGGGGAGGGTGTGACGCGACCTCACATCTCACACTTCGCCCTGGTTTCCCGTCCCCCATGTATTCCTACCCCCCTAACCCCTAACCCCAAACCCTGGGGGTGGTTCTACGTCCCGCTCTCCCGCCCCTTTCTTCGCAGACCGCGCATATCCCTCCCAGCCCTCGCAGCCTCGCCGTCGTCCTCCCCACCCCCGCCTCAACATCAACACCGGACCTCCGCACGCCCGCAACAGAACCAGCCCTTCACCTCCACCTCCACCCCTCCCACCACCACGACCACCACCACCACCCCTCCAACCACCGCCGCCACCACCGTCATTCCACCTCCGGCCCATAATCCCGAACTTGAGGCAGTCTGGGATGCCCTCTGCGGCCACAACCACGGCGGCAGCGGAGGAGGCGGAGGCGGGGCAGCTTTGGTTCAGTTGTTCAATGCCATTATGGCGGACCCCACCTCCCCGGCCGCGAGCTCCCATATGGAGCAGCTCAAAGCCACAGCCGACGACACCTCCCACCCCTCGCATAAGCCGGTGCAGGCGCTGATGTACCAGCTGGCCAAGAGGGGGGTGGGGCCGCCGTCAGCAGCACAGCAGCAGCAGCAGCAGCCCGTAACGGGGCCCCAGTCGGGAAAGACGGCGAATGGGACGGGGGGGGTGGCGGCGGGCGGAGAGGCCGGCGGGAGCCAGGGACGAGCACGCGGCTTGAAGGTGAGGAGGGGGGAAAAGGGCGGGTCAGGGGGGAAAGTCAGGCAGGAGGGTACGTGGGCACATGCCATGCTTCATCAGCGTAACGGCCTCAGCACAGCTCCCTAAACCCTAGGTGGTATGGACCGGGATGTGACAACGCATCCCTTGACGTGACGTTACGTTACGTTACGTGACGTGACGTGGTATCACTTCACTTGGCCAGCTGCTGCTGCTGTTGCTGCTGCGCCCCTCCGCGCTGTTATTCGTCATACCTCCCACCCAACCCGCACTCCTACAGCCACCTCGAACCGCCACCCGGCGCAGAGGGACCTAGGGAGGGAGTAGAGGGAGTAGAGGGAGGGAGGGGGCGGAAAGCTCTAGAATAGGAATGCCCGAAGATAACCTCAACCGCCAACCGCAAACCGTGGTCACCATTAACCACCAACTGCAGGCCGCCAACGGTTCCGGAGCCAGCAAGGCGGGTCCTGCCGCTGCTGCTGCCGCTTCCGCCGCCAAGGGCACCCCCCCCGGAGGGGGTGTTGGCGGTCGGCGGTCCGTTCGCGCCGTCCTGGCTGAGAGCTGGCGGGACGATGCTGATCTGGGGCAGGTGGTGTGGGCGCTCACGCAGTTACTAGGCCCGCCCTTCCTGGCCTGGCTGCCGCAGCCGCCTGCACTGCCGGCGCTGAACATATGATGATGATGATGATGATGTTGATGATGATGATGTTGATGAGGAGGAGGAGGAGGAGGGGAGGCCGGTGAACCCGGTGGGATTGGTGGCGGTGCACCTGCAAATCATACCAGCCGGTGATGATTATGTTTCCTGTGTTTACACACATCCATCCATGCAGGAGAGCGCTGGGGCCCCCTGCCCAGGCAGTTAAGGCTCCGGAGCTATTTTCGAAAAATGCGTCGAAGACCCGGAGGGTGGGGGGGCCTTACGGTTGGGATAGGTTGTGCGGGGTGCGGCAACCCGACCTACCCAAATGGGGTTCGAGGTGGCGGGTGGCGGGTGGGGGCTCGGGCGGTGGAGGGACGTCGTGGATTGGGATGCGCTGGACCACATGCCTGTCCGTACCCCCGCCTCTTAGAGGGCTTGCACGACGTCCTAATCACATTCGGTCTCTGGGCGAGATGTGGAACCGTTTGGGGTGTATAGCCGTGTAGGGCTGGCGGGTTGAGGGCGGCGCTGGGCGGGACGAGGTGTGGTGTGGTGGATGGGGCTTTAGGGGGCGGGTGATGTATTGGGGGGTGGATGAGGTGAGGTGGGGCTGGAAACTGCATGCCTGATATGTTTAGCCGAAACAGCGTGCCTGGTATGTTTTTAGCCGCTGGGTACACGCCTGGGTACAATTCAACAGGGAGTTGAGCGCTATCGCCTTGATGCAAAACTCTCTAAACCTAAAACCCTGAGTAATACGAGTAGGAAGCTGTGGAATGTATGGACTGCCGGGCTGGCTTGCATGGACCGGAGCGCGCTAGTGTTGCGCAGAGCCGCGGAAGATCTCTTCCGTTGGAGTGCACGTTTTACATCTACTGCGTTTGCATGTGGCAAATGCTAACAAGGCTATAAATGACAAGACTTCTGAGCAACGCCCCTCGAGAGCTGTACAGAACACGCAGCGCAGGGATGGTTTTTGTAGGCCGATGCACACTTTCTGCAACTGAAAGGAAACTCAAATAGGTAGTGTACAAAACATAACATACCCCAAAAGATAATAAAATAACTGTAACACAATATTCGCATGAGCACATAATGTGACCTCACCTCTCAACGACAACACCGCACACCTGCGCAAAAAAATATAAACAAGGGTCTCCAAAACCAACTGGACGAGCAAGGAAGTTTTCCTCTCGCTCGAACAACACTCCTCGCACTCGTAAAATTATCGTCACCGGACGGAACTGAATAACAAACAAATCTTGGGAATTCTTCCTGTACCAATACCTGAAAAAATACGCAACCAAACGCTCTTCCAGCCTTTTTTTCCTCTCTCTCCTCTCGTTTCCTCTCTAATTACACACCGCCCGGTACAGCCCCTATCCCTCTTGCGGCTGCCTCCTCTGCTCGGGGCAAGAAGGAGGGGTCCCCGCTCCTTCTCTCCTCGTGATGTCCTGTTTCACCTCGACTATCCTGCAGCTCGTCTCCTACTAAAAGCTGCAGGCAGCTGCTACCAGGCCGTGGCCAAGTTGCCCACTCCAAGCCAGCTGGCCAGCCGCCCAGCCGGCCAGACACCCGACCAACGCTCTCGTTGCCAGACTCCCGGAAGTGGTACTCAATCTGAACCTTAGAACCAATTCACTCCGGCAAACAGCTCCCCAAGCGGCTTGCTGGGTGCGTCCTTCTCCGCAATGACCTCCACCACCTTGTTGGCTGCGGCGGGCTCCGTCAGAGCCGCCACGCACACGTCGGCTACCTGCGCACCGTGTGTCCATCCGCGGGTCGGTGGGTCGGCGGGGAGCGCCTTGCGTGAGCAGTTAAACGACACCCAGCCGAGCCCTCAAGGTTTAGGGAGCACTAGGAGAAAACCAACAACCAACGGCGTTTCCCTTTCCCCCCAAAGGCACTCGCCCTCCCCGACCGCATCCCCCGCCCCCTTTTTCCATGCGGAGTATCTGTCCGTATATCCCTCCCTGGTATCAGCTTCATTCGTCATATTGGACCGTTCCTTACCCCCCATCGGCCCATCCACCCAAGTGGTGGTGGTGGTCGATCGACACCAAATGAGATTCACGTACCTGGCTGCGCAGGATGCTACCCGACTTCTTAGCAGGCGGGATTCCAAAGGTGCCCGGAGCGCCCATGACAATGTTTCCAGCCACCTCACCCTTTGGGTGTTGAGCAGCCAGGGGGGGATGATGGAGGTGGTCCCCGGGTGGAGGGTGGAGGCCAGCAGAGCAGCGAGTTGGTCGAAACAGATTTCAGTTGGTTCCTTTGTTAATACCCGTTTTCGTGCCCTTTCCCGACCTTTCACAGTAAGCATTACCAATCCCTCACCCTTACCCTTCTCGCAAAAGGCGCGGACAGACATAAAAACCGAGTCCAGGGACAAGTTGCAGAAATCCCAACCAACTAACCGCCTATGCATACGCGCTGCTGCCCAGCTGTCCACAGTCCCCATCTACCTGCCCCAATTTTGTCTTAAGTCCTCCGGGTCGTACGATTGTGTACGTCAGGCCGCTACGTTGGAGCTCCTCCTCCGCGCGTTTCTTCCAGAATAGGACGCCCCAGAACAGGTTCAGAGGGTTCAGCAGGTCATCGGCGCCAATACTGCTAATGAGTACAAACTGTCTGACGCCCTTTTGCTTGGCGGCGGCTATGAGGTTGAGGGTGCCCTGCGAGGTGAGTAGGTAGGTAGGGAGCTAGGTCAGGAGATTGCAGACGTTAAGCACTGCACAACGGTATTATACCGTTATGTGCCGTACATGGCATGTACGACATGGCGTCATCCACATACCTGGTAATCCACGTTGAATGGCCCCAGGGGATCCCGGGGGTCTCGGGCCCCGGTGCAGCAAATCACCGCCGTACAGTCCTCCATGGCTGGCGGCAGGCTGGCGAACTGAAACACATCACCTCGCACCAGCTCTGTGCCGCTGCCTAGGCCGGCCAGGCCCTCACTACCGGCCTTGGAGGTGTCCCGGACAAGGGCGCGGACTGGCACGTTCTTTGCCGCCAGCGCCGCCACGACCTCCCTGCGAGCGCGGTCACATGGACCAGCGCCGTGTGACGGAGGCGACGGCGGTGGTGTGTTGTTGGTGGTGGTGTTGGTGGTGATGAAAGCGGCTAGCTTTACCTGGGGTAATTTGCACTAAATTGTCCTAGTCGTCCTTGTTGTCGCCCTTCCCATTTGGGACTACTTTGGGCGACAGCACTCGTGTTGATGTTTGAGAGGTAAGAGGCTAACGACAAGTGTGGGACGGGGAGTTGCTGGTTACGGGCTGATAGGGGTGATGGGGTGATGGGTTTTGGTGTTTTTAGCTGGCTTTGTGGTGTGGCGGTCATGTGTGGCTGCATATGGCCGCACGGGGCGTTAGCTTTTGTGTAAGGGGCGGGTGTTGGGGTGGGAGCGGCAGACAGGAAGCGTTGCGATGGCTTGTGGAGAGTCAAACTTACTTTCCGGAGCCGCCTGTTGCCCCTGCGACCAGGACTTTATAACCCTCCAGTCCACTAGCAGCAGATGACGCGGCGCGCACCTTCACCACCGGCAGTCGCCTAGGCACCGCTCGGCCTGGATGGATGACAGGACAGGGTCGCGCTTTAAGTTCTTGTTTTTCCATACACCTCAATGACAGTCGTTTAAGTATTTCGTGAAACTATGGAGTCCTAGCGGCAATGGTCCACTAAGTTGTGTGGTCGACGTTCACGCCACGGTGAGCGATGGAAGCTTCCCTGACCTGCAACTCTGCTGAAAGTCGCAGCATTTTGTACTGAAATAATTACAGAGGCCATCGTGCTGTTTCGTAGCTTTAACTTGCGTATGGAATATTGCTACCTAGACTGCTCGCCCACGGAGATTACTCGGAGTAGTTCTCAATACGAGTGGAAATCACAGCTGCCAAAGCCAAGCAATATGAATTAGCGAGCAAGTGCTCAACAAACATTCGACGCCGCTGCAATCCGAAGATGGAGCGGCGGGCGCCCAACAAAGCTACTGGGTTGTCGTACATGTCAGTTGCGCTCTGTGGGGAAAGTGAAACCTGCTTGCAGACTACAATTAAACTTGATTTTGGACTTTCATGTCAGCCATCAATACCACCCACGTCCTAGGCACTTAGGATTTTCGACGACCTGCTCACAATTCCAGGCCGCAGTCCCAGACAGTGCGCTCCTCTACGCACGTAGTCTCGGAACTTGAGCTCTTAACCAATCCGAGCTCCTAGCACACTTAAACTTTCTACCTCGTAGCATTCACCTGCGTCCGTCCGGTCAACATGCAAGGTTGCCATCAACGCGCCCTCCGGCACACGTATATGCCGGAGCCCTGCAAGCGTGCCTTGAAGCATCAGTTACCCAAGAGCATTACAATGGCTTGTATCGCTATCGCAGCCTTGGCATGGTGAGAAGACCGTTTTGTGGGTTGCCGCGCAGTTGGGTTGCAAAATGCGCTCTTACACTTTCAATCGATCTCACACAAATAATTTCAGACATTAAATAATTTAACAAATATTCTCTATCCATTTAATTCATTCGCATCGCAGTCTTCAAGGCCTTCGATGGCTCTCCAAGGGTTACAGCGAAGCCGACGACGCACTTCAGGTAAACCGCTGTAACCTCTAGCGCCGCAAGTAAAACATTCCGTCCATTTCATTATTATAGACGAAACCATAATTCAAGCCTATAAACAAACCACACCCTCCCTTCCGTTTCCAACCCCTATCTCCAGGCCGCTGCCTCGGAAGCCGTCTACGCGCCATCCGAAGCCCAGTTTCTAGGGCGTAGCTACCGTCAGCGCATTCTACAGGCTCAGCTTCGCGACAAGGACCTGCAGGTCAAGTACCTGCGCACCCAGCTCGAATCGGCCGTCCAAGCCAGCAAACTGAAGGACGATTCCATGAAGGCCGCAGAAAACTTGATCCGCTGGCTTCGGGAACGCGAGGACGCCGCCAAGCAGGGTCGCAGTAAGGCCCAGCTGGCCCTCGCTGAGAAGGCCTCTGCTCTTCAGAGCTGTCAAGTTCAAACGGAGTCACTGTTGGTGCAAGTCACGGAATGCGACAAGGCGCTTCGACGCATGTGAGACGCATTTAGATCGGTTCGCCGCCATCAAGCTCCCCCCCCTTTTCCCCCTCATCCACACACACAGGGAGCTCCAGCGCTCCCGTGACGGTATCTCGTACGGCATATCTGTGTGTGTGTATTTGTGCGCGTGTAAGCGTGTCAAGCAGGTTGGGGCCAGGGCTGCCTGAGTGTTGTTATTGTTGTTGTTATTGTTATTGCAGATTGTGTATTGATTTTGTGACACCCGGCAGCCCTAACCAGACGGTATCAAAGGGCAGCTACCGAGGGGACCCGCTGCAGGGGTTTGGTTGCGCAGGGCGGAAGGGGGAAAAGCTATCCGCGGCCGTTGCTGTACTACTACGAGCAGCAGCCCGCGGGTTAACTAGGGGCCCGGATGACATTCTGTCATTGGCGTGTGAATGTGAATGTGAATGTGTGCATAAGGACGACTGTTGTGTAGATGGACTGCTATTTATTATTGGGGTGTGTAGTTGTACTGCTTGTACTGCACGGATTAATGAAAGAGATTAACCCCGTGGCATTTCCCCCCGCTCTCCGTGTCAGTGGGGGTGTTTTAGGTGTGTGTGTTCTTGTGCGGATAGTTGGTGTGTCGGCGATAGAGAAGGTATATAAGGGGGAAAGGAATGCCGGGTAGATGGCTTGGTGTTACCGGGGGATGGAGCAGCAGGAGACAGGTTAACCCCCCAGGTGGACATCAGCACGCAGTTGGAATATACCCGGGATATTCCCACGTGTCGCTTACTGAGCTGTCTGTCTTTAGGGTTAAGGCTATGGGGTGTGTGTGTATGTATGTATGTATGTATGTGTGTATGTATGTATGTATGTATGTCGCTGTGTGGAGTTAGCTGTTGCGAGCACAGCAGCTGGTTGTCGTTCGATGTTCCCCTCAACCCTTGCACACCTCCCGTCCTCTCCTTACCGTTAGCATCTTGCACATAATCCCGTTTTGAGCGAGGGCGAGGCCCATGTCCACCTTCCTCCTGAAGGGGGGCCCGCAGTCGCTCCAGGGGGGGCCCCGTAAAGGCGACCTCGGAGGTCGGGACCCTCCTGGCCATTGTTGGCCTTTGATTGATACCTTGGGTGGATAGGGTTGTCCCCTCCGGATGGGACGGTGGGATGCCGCGGTGGACTTGTCTCTCTGTTGTTCGGTGACCGTGCGAAACGGAGCCTTGAAATTAAGGGGCCGCCTTCGATCTGTTCATACTCATTCCGCTGCGGGTGGGAGTGGCCCGGGCGCTGATGGCTGTGGTTTCTTAGAGTATAGTATCCACAAATAAGTGTGACCGCAGTCAAACAGGTTGACGGGTTTGACTGTTAATTTTTAGTGGCTGGGTGTTTAGCTTACCTGTGTGTGTATGTGTGTGTATGTGTGTGTATGTGTGTGTGTGTGTGCTCTATTGGCATATGGCGAAGGCGGCCCCAGCAGTAGGGTATAGGAACTTTCCTTTCCCCACGTCCAGGTGCTGCCGAAGGCCGAAATTGCCTCAAGCAAGGTACAGTACGCGAAAGTGGTAAGGGGCTGCGGCGCGGCTAGGAGCGAGAGGAATCTCCGTCTGCATGCCTGTTGCCGTGCGCCGTTTCTTCGTGAGCTTCAAATGTTTGCCGCCTCTTTCGGGCGTTTGTTTTTTAATGTTTTACTGTTTTGCGAGATGCGTGGTTGATTAGCCTTTTAGCTGTTTAGCCTTTATGAAGAAAAGTATGACTATTTAGCAGTGAGTGACCGTAACATCGCTCTATAGAAATGGTAGCATACCTCGGGGTGGAGTTAATATCATAGTTGACTTATTTACTGAACAGCGACATGGATTGGATATCCTTATAGCCAAAATATTGCCGCAATGCAATACATATATTTGTAACGGAATCAGTTACTTATGAGTAATGTCTCTTTTGCCATACTGTCATTCCATCCTTTATCCTCTCCAGGATTGAACAAAATGCCAACACTTTCTTAAGCTCACCTCCATTCCCAGCCGCGCACTGCAGCGAGAGTGTCACTTCACTCGCTGATGACAGCCAGGCTGGCCGGCCAGGACACGAACCGAACCGACAACAGCAAAACGCCCTCATGTATGTATATAACGATAGTAGTTTGGCTTCATACCTCGCTTCCAACGGTTGCCCCGGCATTTTCACACCATGCGACCGCCAATGCGGCAACACCTTCGGCTGCGGCCCTCGCGGGGCCCCAAGTCCGGATGTAACAGAAAGCATCAGATACGGTAATTAATACAGATTTAAAACATTTGACAGAACCTTGCCGTAGTCTCACGTATAAGATCATCCTATCTACACGTCCACCACTCTTTCTTTAGACAGCTAATAAAGCTCCCGACTGGTTTGAACCATCATAACACGGACCGATGCTTGTAATCCCCCCCCCCTGCCGCAATGCCGTATCACGTCCCGCCGTGCGCAGTAAGCTTGCCTAAGCACCAAGGGAGGTCGATGATGACAGATTGACAGCAGTTGATGGTTGACAGCAGTGACTCATTGCCAAGCCAACCAATCAGTTAGGCGGTTAACCTGGCAAAAGCAGCACCAAAATACCCTTAATGGTATCTCCGCGCGGTGGGCCCCCGTCTGAAGGCCCACTAGCGCCACTAGCACCTCCGATACATAGGGTGCGGTGTAGTGAGAACAAGACCCCAGTACAGTGCCCCATCATGTGTTGTGCCTTGTTGAAGACCATGATGGTCGCACACACTGATACACACGCATACACACACAAACACGCATACACACACAAACACATACACGCATACACACACAAACACATACACGCATACACACACAAACACATACACGCATACACACACAAACACATACACGCATACACACACAAACACATACACGCATACACACACAAACACATACACGCATACACACACAAACACATACACGCATACACACACAAACACATACACGCATACACACACAAACACATACACGCATACACACACAAACACATACACGCATACACACACACAAACACATACACGCATACACACACAAACACATACACGCATACACACACAAACACATACACGCATACACACACATACACGCATACACACACACATACACGCATACACACACACACATACGCGCATACACACACAAACACATACACGCATACACACACAAACACATACACGCATACACACACATACACGCATACACACACACACACATACACGCATACACACACATACACGCATACACACACAAACACATACACGCATACACACACAAACACATACACGCATACACACACAAACACATACACGCATACACACACAAACACATACACGCATACACTGGAATCCCTCCCCACCGCAACCAAATGGTGCGGTCTGGCGTGTAGATCTCTCCCCCATTTTCCCCCCCAGTGGTTCGTCTTGCCCGTATTGCCTCCCAGGGCCCCAGGGCCCCAGGGTCGAGACCGCCGGCCGATGCGGCCGCTCCGTTCTCCTAAACCATCACAACATCGTCTTTAGCTCCTCCGCCTCCACCGCCCCCTAGACTGCCTTCCCTGGAGTTCAGCGGCCGCCGCCATCAGCAAGTGGACATGGTAGGTAAGCCCCTCCAATAGATCCGCCGGCTCATCGCCGCAGCTACAGCCTCTGCCTCCTGTCCCAGAGCAACGCTCACACACCGGCCATGTCACCGACGGCGCCGCCGCCGCCGCCGCCGCTGCTACCACAGCCGCAGACGCCGCCGCTGTTGCCGCCACCGCAGCAGTCAGCGACAGCTCCCAGAGGGCTTGGCTAGCGCTGCTGCCGGCAAGGTTTGCCGGGCTGCTGTCGCCGCAGCTGCTGAAGCTACCACTGCCGCCGCCGCCGCCGCCGCCGCTGGAGCAGCGGTCAAAGCATTCAACAACGCCGCTCCTATTGCTGGTTTTGTCACCGCCGGTTCCACCATCACCACCACGGCCACCATTGCCGCCACCGCTGCAGCCATTGCAGCAGCCGCCGCTGGCAGTGTGATCCGGAATACTGCTGCCGCTGCCGCTGCTGCTGCTGCTGCTGCTGCTGCCTGTCAGCGTCATCATCATCCCGGGCATTACACGGGGTCCGGAAACCAGTCGCCCGGGTCGCAGCTGGCTACTGCTGCTGCTGCTGCTGCCGCTGCTCGGGTTTCGTCTACAGCTGCCGGTGGGGTCCACAGCTTCCTCTCCGTTCACCCACCGACCGCCGCCCATCCCCTGGACCACAGCCGACTGCGTGAGCAGCGCCGCGAAGGGACTGGACTGCCCCAGCAAATGCAGCGTGATCCCGTCGTCGCGGTTGTCGTGACCACCGCCAGCATACGACCGCCGCGTCAGCGCCCAACCCGCGCGCCTGCGCTGGAGGGCCCAGTTGTAGGCGCGGGCGATCTCGCTGCCCAGGCTGTTGCAGGGACTTATGCTGCTGCGGCTGCTGCTGCTGCTGCTGTCGTACTCGTATGGGAGGCCGCATGTAGAGTCGCTGGGCGTGCTGGCGATAGCGCTGTGTGGCTTGCGGTTTCGGCGGCCGCAGCCGCCGCCGCCGCTGCTGCCGCCGCTGCTGTCCTTGCTGCTGCCGTTGTAGCCGCGGATAGATCTGCCGCTAATACTGTTTCGGCCGCCGGTGCCGCTGCTGCTGCTGTTGCTGCTGCTGCGGGAGCTCTTAACGTTCACGTCATGAAGTTCGTACACAAACGCCGTTGGCCGTTCGCGCAGCAGCGTCGCGACGCGAGCTCCTGGCGTGTCGGAAGTCGCCCCCAGGTTCGAGGTGTTTGAAGGTGGTGATCCCTTTACTGGAGCCTTATTGGCGAACGCTTTATCCCCCCGGGTAATACGACACGTTTGATGTGCGTCGCTGCTGCTGCTGTTGTTGCTGCTGCTGCTGCTGTTGCAGCTCGCCTCCAGGCTGTTGGCACTCTGGCCACAGCCTCCGCCGTTGGGCACGGCAGCTGCATCCGTCACCGCAACCAGCGGGGGGCCGCGGTCCAGAGCCGCCGACGTAACAACTGAGGCCGCGGTCCCCGCTGGGTGAATCGACTGCCAAGGCCCCGCCAGCGCGTAGCCGGTGTCAACATCCCGCAAGCTTCTGCCGTACAATTGCCGTACACCAACGTCAAGTGCTGCATGGCTGGCTGCGGTCAGCCTGGATTCTGGTTGCCATTGCGTTGGTGCCTCTTGCGTCTGTAGCCCCTCCAGCTTCCAATTCGGGGGACGGTGTTGCTGGCGGCGGCGCGAATGCAGCTCCTCCAGGTGCGAGGGCACCTGAGCACGAACCCGACCCGTGGGCATCTCCGCGTGCCGCAGTGGCGGAGGAGCGTTCTTCGGCTGAGGATGGTGATGACGCGCGCGTGGGCCAGTGGTCGGGTGCCCCGCTGTCGGCCCCGCCAGGGCCCCAGTGCGATCCGCCTGCCGCAGTACAGCACCTTCCAGGTAATTGTGGGTGTCGTCGCCGTTGCCGTTGGAGATGCCGTCGGCAGCAGGGGCAGTAGCAGCCGCCACTGCTGGTGCTGGTGGTCCGGCTGTAGCGGCCACCACCCTCGCCGCCGCCGCCGCCGGGGAGCTGGTGGTGGTTACTGCAGTACATGACGATGATGATGCCGATGCCGGAGCGTGGCGGCCATCCTCTGTGGGGCCCCGCAGCAGCAGCGTCACCGCCGCCGCCGCTTCATCAGCCGGTACGGGAACCTCCACTGAAGCCGTCGCCGTCGCCGTCGCCGCCGCCGCCATCACTCCGGGCATCTGCGTCGCTGGCGCCGCCGCCGGCACGGCCACTTCCGACCCCATGAACGGCATCGCCGCTGGCGTCGAGCACACGGGCGGCGGCGGCAGCGGCAGCGACGCCGGGGCGCCGTCGGAGCTCTCAGTGAGCGTCCGGGCCATGGCCGCACTTTGAATGACTCCGGGCGGCGGCGGCGGCGGCGGCGGTGGCGGCGTCGGCGTGATAAGGACTTCGCCGCCGAAGAGCTCCCTCAGCCGCTGCTGCAGCACTGGCTGTAGCTCGGGCTGTAGCTCGGGCTGCAGCTCCTGCTGCTCCCACTGCTCCTTCCGGTCGCCCTGGCCGCCCCGTACTGCCGGAGCAGTGTTGGGGCCTGGCCCAGTGAGGCGGCGAGGCCGCGGGGCAGCTGCCACGGTAGGAAGATGCGGCGAGCCGTGAAGCGTCAGTGCCGCCGCCGGCGCAGTGGTGTTGGTGTTGGTGTTGCTGCCGTTGGTGCTGGTGTTAGTGATCGAGGTGCATCCTGGACCAGCCCGTGTGGAAGCGCGCCATCCTGCCAGCCAGGGCGGCGGCCCCTCCCCCGGCGGCCGCAGCTGCTCTAGTCCCAACCTGACAGCCTCACGGAACCGAATGATGAGGGCCACATCGGGGGGGTCGAGGTCGAGGTCGAGGTCGAGGTCGAGGTCGAGGTCGAGCAGGGCGGCGGTGTGAGATGGGAAGTCCCAGGACACAGGGAGCTGCAGGGAGGGCGCTCCGGAGGGCAGCGGGTTATTGCCAAGTCGGCTCGCCAAGTCCGCGGTCTTGTCACTGAGATCTGAGTTGGACACAGAACGTTGAGGGGTGATTGGCCGGGCGCCCTTCCGCAGCGGGAGGTACGGCAGTTGGAGGAAGGAGGAGATGGGGGAGGAGGGGGAGGAGGGGAAGGAGGAAGGAGGAGGCGGCCAGGAGGATTCCAGCGGTGGAGGTGCTTGTGAAGCTGCATGCGCAAGCCATTTGGTTCCCCCGGAGTCGTGCGACGCCATTGCGTTCCTGCCAAGTGTTCTTCCGTTTGTGTGAGCGGAGTGTGTGAGCGAGTGTGTGAGCGGGTAAGGGAAAGCCGACCTCCGTAGCCTTGGGGCTGGCAGGTCCCCGGACGATGGATGGCGGATTGACTTCCCCACCCGGTCAAAATGGATCGCACTCGCTCTGCTGCTGCTGCTGCTGTGACTGCTGTGACTGCTGTGACTGCTGCTGCTACTGTGTTGATCCGATGGTTTGCAGCGGCTTTTGCCAAGTGCAGCTTTGCTTGCTTATGTTGTACGAGTAGGCAGCCGCGCCAGCACCAACAATGCTCCGCGTAACTCCGCACCTTTGCTCGCGTGTTTGTCAATTTGCCACTTTGTAAGTTGATGGTGATCTGTTTGGGCAAATAATCACCCTCCTGTAAGGCAGACGGCAGTGGAGTAAAGGCCCCGAGGAAAGGACCATACGTTTGGTATTGTAGGGGTGGGGAGGGGCCCCCCCTTTGGTTGCTGGACTGCTCGACTTCCGTCTCCTCCTGGACAGCCAGTCGACACAAGACCGCCAACGGCCCGGGATGGCGGCTAACTTCACCGGTACCGGCGGTTACAGTCAGGACGAGAGATCTTCTTTAGGCAACCTCGCTCGGCAAATCCGGCAATGCCAAATCCAAAACGACGCCAATCAGCTTCCTAACCTTCCTTTGGGATAATTTAATCTGGTGGACTAAAGAAGCGACGATGGAAATCAATCACACCAAGTGCTCGGCAGAATATGTAAACCGCTTTTTTCTGTCTTCGCAAAAGTAAAAGTAAAAGTAAAAGAGGCGCTCGGAAGGCGATGGGCCGCTAGAGCTGAGACGTGTGCTAGAGCTGACGCCCCAAAGCGCCAAAGTGCGGCGGTTGCGGCGGTCCCAAATCATTTTTTTGTCACAGGTTGTGCCAAGTTGGCCTGTGGCGCGCTGAGACCAACTGCTACAAACTGCTACTACCGATCATTAGAGCGTCACGACTCCTAAAATTCCTGATCCTGATAATAATTGCCCCTTCATCAACATCATCATTATAATCATCATCATCATCATCATCATTAAGGTGGGTGAGGTACATGTGGTGCGCGCCGCAGCTTCGTTGGGAGGCCGCCGCAACAAAAGCACCTCTCTGGAGAGAGACATCGTGGGGATCCACGCGCACCACCACCGAAAAAGCATTTTACTCAGCCCCTCCCACCGCATTGGGTCGACGGTGACGGCATCGGACCACTGACTCTGCTTCGTGCACGTGTCGTGTACCCAACCGCTCTGTTTGCGCCCTCCCCCCCAGCTCTCATCCCCACTCCCCCTCACTCCCCACTCCCCCTCACTCCTCACTCCTCGCCCTCATCGTCATCATCGTCGTCATCGTATTCATCGTCGGAGAGTTCCTCCGCCCCGACCACAAGGGCATCCACAACCTCCCAACTAACCCCCGCACCGCCCGCCTCGCCCGCAGCGGCGGCCGCCGCCGCCGCCACCGCGCGCTCCGCCGCCGCCACCGCAGCGGCGCCTCCACGCACCAGCCGCAGCGCCCACAGCGAACCCGACGCCCCTCCCGCCAGTACCGCCCCCTCATCCACACTCCCCGACAAACAAGTGACAACTCCCGGACCTAGCCGTACAGTGTACTGGTATTGACACAGCAGTGAATCAGGTGCGCCAGCTCCTGCCGCCGCCGCCGCCGCCGCCGCGGCACCCGTGCTGGGTGCGGTTGCGGACGTGGATGAGTTTGCGAGGGGGGCCCCCCCCACAGCCGACACGTTCAGGCACGCCATGGGCAGTTTGGCGTTGGGCGGAGCCTCCTCCAGCGCCTGATGGGTGGTTGGGAGTTGGTGGTTACTTTGCTGGGATATGGAAGTTAATGGTGGGTGGTTGCTTCATATGGCAGCAGCTTCACTCGTTCGCGGTTCGCCTTCCCCCCCCCCCACCCACCACCACCC